ATATTTTTTCAAGTAAAAATATTTTAAAATATTAGATTCAATCAAAAAACAAAACAATTATTTTTTGAGTTTAATGTGCTAATTTGAAAACTTATTGATTCAAAATCTAATTTAGACTAAACTTGAAATAAATTAAATAAAAGGTTAATATTGTTAGATTTTCTCAACCTAATTAAAATTATATTAATTTGATAATTCTTTTCAATAGATTAATTGTGAGATATGAAAAAATTAAAATAATATTATTTAAATTTATATTAAAAAATAATAAATAAATAATGAGTTCAACAACAATAATAATTAAAGCGAGTTTATGATTATATTTCAGCTAATAAGAAAAAATCTCAAAAGATCTCATATTGGAGTCTTTTTTTATATAATAATAATAAAAACAACTAATAAGAAGAAATAATATTGTAAATATATGTCTTTTAATTGCCGAGAAGTCTATTAATCTTGTACTGCAAAATGAAGGGAAACTCCTTGCCAATCATCTCCCCTATTCCTTTAAGTTTTCTTTTACGAGGATGTTGGTTCTACAATTATTTACATGTTTGGAAAGGTGTATTGTTGTAGTTTTCTAAAGTATTTTTATGTTAAAATATATTAAAATAATTTTTTAATATTTTAAAAAATTATTTTTAATTAAAAAATCAAAACAATTCAAAACACATACAAAAATTTATTTTTAACAAATAAATAAATATTTATTTTTAACAAATAAATAAATAAATAGTTTTTTTTTTAAACATAGTTTGGACTGTGTTTTCAAATATTCTCTTGATTATTTGATTTAAATATATTACATGCATAATTATACACATAATTTTTTACACATAAGTTTTTAGAGAAGAATTTAAAAAAATTATTAAGAATTATTTTCAATATAATCTTTCCTTGCCTGCACAAAAATAGGACCACCTTGGTAATTAAAAAGAAATCTAAAGTAACATGTTTTTGTAAGATTGACTGAGTAAAAAATACACTAGAAAATCTTATTGATTAATTAAGGAATTTATTATTTAAATTCTTAAGTCAAATAAAAAAAATGCTTTGTCTCTTAAAATAACAATAAAAAGCTTAATAAAAACGCAAGTTTAAATTATAGAAAAAAAACCTCTGTTCTACAATACTAAAAAGCAAACGTTGACTCCTCTCCCTTTGTTCCCTCCCTCGGGCCAAATCTAAAATGTCGCGCGGTGAGAACAAAGACCGTAATAGTTTACTATTTAAAAATGTGTAATGCCTAGATGGGCAATTGCGTTTGTAGTCCAACGGTTAGGATAATTGCCTTCCAAGCAATAGACCCGGGTTCGACTCCCGGCAGACGCAAATATCTTTTTCGAAGGATGTATTTTTTTTAGTTCCCGGATTCCATTATAAAACAAATATGATAACAACAATATAATTAGGAATTAAAAAAATTATGAATATTATAAAAATATGATAATGCATGGTTTGGTTATGATTATAAAACAATTATTATAAAAAATATACATAGGAATGATTATAATACATATATATATATATATATATATGATATTTCCTAATCAATAATAAATAAATAAATAAATAATTTTTTTTAAAAACACGATGCAAATATATTACATGCATAATTACACACAGAATTTTTGAGAGAAGAATTTGAAAACATTATTAAGAATTATTTTCAATATAATCTTTCCTTGCCTGCACAAAAATAATAAGACCACCTTGATAATTAAAAAGAAATATAAAGTACCATGTTTTTGTAAGATTGAATGAGTAAAAAATACACTAGAAAATCTTATTGATTAATTAAGGAATTTATTATTTAAATTCTTAAGTCAAATAAAAAAAATGCTTTGTCTCTTAAAATAACAATAAAAAGCTTAATAAAAACGCAAGTTTAAATTATAGAAAAAAAAACCCCTGTTCTACAATACTAAAAAGCAAACGTTGACTCCTCTCCCTTTGTTCCCTCCCTCGGGCCAAATCTAAAATGTCGCGCGGTGAGAACAAAGACCGTAATAGTTTACTATTTAAAAATGTGTAATGCCTAGATGGGCAATTGCGTTTGTAGTCCAACGGTTAGGATAATTGCCTTCCAAGCAATAGACCCGGGTTCGACTCCCGGCAGACGCAAATATCTTTTTCGAAGGATGTATTTTTTTTAGTTCCCGGATTCGATTATAAAACAAATATGATAACAACAATATAATTAAGAATTAAAAAAATTATGAATATTATAAAAATATGATAATGCATGGTTTGGTTATGATTATAAAACAAATATTATAAAAAATATACATAGGAATGATTATAATACATATATATATATGGTATTTTCTAATCAATAATAAAAAAATTATTTCACGACAACAATAAAAATAAATAAAATAAAATTTTATGCACGTAAATATAGGTGGATATATGTGTATTAAGTTTAAATAAAACTGGAAGGTACTGCGCTTAATGCTCATAAATATTACACCTACTTTTATAAGCAAACCTTTTCTTCCTATATAAACTTATATAAAAAAATTTGAGATAAAAGATATTTTGAAAGAAATTTCCTTCACTTAAAAATAAATAAAATAAAATTTTATGCACATAAATATAGGTGGATATATGTATATTAAGTTTAAATAAAACTAGAAGATACTGCACTTAACGCTCATAAGCAAAACCTTTTCTTCCTATAGAAACTTATATAAGAAGATTTGAGATAAAAGATTTTTTTGAAAGAAATTTCCTTCCTCATAATTTTTTATTTTCTTATTAGTATAAATAATCTAATTAGTTTATACATATCAGAAAATAATAAAAATTATATCTTGAGACCTTATCAATTACTGTAATTTTTTATTTTCTTATTAGTATAAATATTCTAATTAATTTATACATGTTAAAAAATAATAAAAATTATATTTTAAGACCTTATTAATTATTGAAATTATTAAGTTAATATATTTTTTTAATATGATATCAGAGTTTTAATGATAAAATAATTATAAATTTAAATTTTATTATTTTTTTTATTTGATAAAAATTAAATATAAAATAATATGAACTTATATAAATTTTAAATCTAAAAAATTTTCAATTTAAAAAATTATTAAAATATAATATAAATTATATTTTAAAATTTTATCTAATAAATTAAATTATTAAATTAATATAATTTTTTAATAATATACGTCACGCCTCGACTAATACTACCAATCTCGATAATCTTCGCAGACATACGGGTGATAGGAGCAGACTGTGAGTGGTGCTGAATGCACGCCTCACAAGTAAGTAAAATAGAGCAAACATCTTCCAGTAGGAGTGAATCATCAGGGGCATAGATTGTAGTTACAAGAGACTCATATTTTGGTCTTAAAAGAGAAAAATATGGCAGAGGAAGACAACAATGGTGAATTAATTCTCTTTTTATTGGTATAAAGGAATAAAACGTGAGCGCACCATTTACAACTTGTGCAGGATGTAACTATATATATATAAAAAAGGAGTAATTATTAACTTTGCATAGTTGTATGAAACCTAAGTACCCAAAACAAATCTCATACTAAAAGCTATTTTGTAAAAGGTATGCAATTTAAGGGTTTGCAATGATACAATGGCAGCAATTAAGTTTCCGGGTTAATGCTCTGAAATTAGAAGTACATGGATTAGATTGATACCAAATAATCCACCAAACCAAGACAAGTTTTAGAACACCCCATCAATGTGATTCTATGTCAATCCTCCATTGTTATCTTTGTAACTCAACTACAACTCAAATTCATCAATGATATGCGTTATTTTAGTGCAATTATTGATTTAATTAATTTGGATAGACCAAAATAAAGGGTTGGTTTGTTGAAATAATTTATTCCATTTATAATCTTAAATTATTATTAGGCACATGTATCATGTACGTGTGAATCAATTACACCTCAACTAGTTAAATTATTTCTCTAAAATCACGAAGCTTGCAAGTTCATATAAAGCGGCAGGAATTATAGTCAACATGATAAACATGAATCTCATGCCTACGAACTGAGCAAATTAAAATAAGATTAAGAAAAACCTTGTGATCACACTTAATTAATTAATTATCAATATTCGAGCACTCCTATAATTGACTGAAACCTTCTACTGTTATATATTATGTCCAGGATCAATTAAAGAGTTGTTTTTATTTATATATATATGACAGGTCCATTAGTGGGAAGCCATCAATCCCCAGGTACTCTTCAAACAAAATACTGCCATATCTACATATTAATTGATTTTAAAAGAACAATGGAAAAGAATTCATAAAAAAATTAGAAATCTTTTGCTAGTGAAACGTGCTTTCAATGAACAAAATTTAAAAACTTCTGGAAGGCTTGACTATCTTGTATGAACATACTACATGTTATAGTTGTTAAATAATTTGGTTGTGTCTAATGGATGGATCCAAGAAATCCTAAATCTGGAATCTAAATCTAATTAAGTTTTTATTAAAAAAATTAATAACGATTAAATTCAATTTAAATCCAATTAAAAAAATTAATAACAAAATAATATTATTTTAATAAAAATAATTTACTCAGTAACTCGTGAGTTGCAGCTTGAAAACATGTTTGGCAAGCGAAAGGAGAGAGATCCACAACTACAAATCTACAAAGAGTGAAATCTGCTGCTCTTTGAGAGGCTATAATTAATTTCAAGCGTGGGATAAAGTTAAAGTTATTTATATGCCATTTTTTATTTTTTTTAAATAAAAATAAAAATAAAAGAAACCTCCAGTACACAAGCCATCCACAGATGAAATCCAACAAACTTGAGGGATTGGTATATGATTAAGGGAAATTTTTTTTTGTCCTTGGTGTTCAAAATACCAATAATAGTAATAATATTTTCATGAATTTATTAAATCTTGATGCTCTACAAAACTATAAGAAAAATAAATTTAATTTTCATGTGAATTGATACCCTTATAGTACCAAAAAAAAAAATTCCCAACATAGTTTTGGCCAAAATATAAAAACATTCACCCATACTTAATATTTTCCATAATATTATGATCACAACCGAAAGAACACGATTATCATGAGTGCCATGCATCCACTGGCATTAATTTAATACATCAGGGCAACCAACTTCTCTAAAATGACATCGTAATCATAACAAGCCCTCGTTGTTATTGTTGTTATTATTATTATTATTATTGAAAATTATTTATAGGACTACTGGGGGAGATGGTTGAGTTTACAGTACATGTAATCCTTGAATTTTTTGGCCTTGAACTTTGAAGGATTGTCTTTGTTGATGAGGTGAGGAAGAGGACCGACCACGAGCTCGCCTGGAGGCTCCAAGAAAACTGGCCATGACATCCTTGCCTTATCTTTAGCCACCGTGGTTCTGTGCAAAACAGCCTTGTACTTACCATTGCTAAGGATCTGCATGCCGGGAATTGCCAATTTTATAATATTTGAAAAATTAACTGTTAGCACAAATAAGTGAAGTGAATCTAGATGGATAGCCTGTAAAACAACACTGCCGTGCATGGTGTAACGCAATGCAATGAATATTTTTTTCCCTAAAATGTTTTTGTGAAGAATTAATTATATACAAATTTGAAACTGGCAATAACTATGTTGTTTTTAAGATATTAATTTTGTTACTACAGGAAAAAAAAATTTATAACATTCTTTTGTAGTTAGCTTCATGAGTATATGGTTCTTGGAGCTTGAATTTGAAGATTTAATAAGAATTTTATAGCTATATAGCAAAGTTATTAAATCCATCCCAATTCATAATTAATTAATTTGATTCAAAGTTTAAGTTAAAAATTCAATAAGTTAATCCAAAATAATATTTTTTTAAAATTGACATGTAAGGTTAATTAAATCGATTACTTAGATGGGTTAATTTCAAATTAACTTTAAACTAACTTAATTTAAAGTAAATATCAAAAGGATGAAACTATTTAATTTTACGTTTTAAAAGTGATTTTTAAAAAAATTAAATTTATTTTATTTTTTATTTTTTTTAAATTAATATTTTTTAATGTTTTTAAATTATTTTAATGCACTGATATTAAAAATAATTTTTTTATTTTAATATATTTTTGAACAAAATACATTTTGAAAAACAATTAATGTTATACTCCGAAACACAAAACCACCTCATATTATTGAATTGTCTGAATTTATAACAAAGTTATAATCACACATTTTAGGTTTCAGCTAAGTCAGGATTGGATATGCACGCAGAGATAAACATTAATTTAAACAAAAAAAAAAAAGAGAGAGTCAAATATCAGTAATTTCTGGTAAAACATAGCCATGTTAGGTATGCCACGAGCTTTGTGCCGACGTCCTTCTCTTTCATAAACGAACTACTCTTAAGTAAATAACAGCTTCATTAATTAGTAATTACTACTCTTAAGTAAACAACAGCTTCATTAATTAGTAATTACCCCTCTAAATGTCAACTCGTTGTTGAGCAATAAAGTGCTATTAAGGCATCCGTTTCTGTGAGGAATTAATACATGGTCAAACTAAACTACTTTCAACTCTTTTAATTAATTTGTTTATTATTTCATTAAATTAAGGTGTAAAATAAAATCCAATAAATTGGCTAAATATTGATTAATTGGCAAATTGCTGATCTAATATTGTCAATGAACTTATAGTTGAACTAGCATTTATATCCTCCTCCGTTCAAAATTGAATCTTAGTTGGTTTATAATCTGAATTGGTAAAGAAAGAAGAAATTATATTAAAAAAAATGTCTAATTGTCCCATAAAACTAAACAAGTAAAAACGGCAAAATGTAATGAAAGAACAATTGAGAGAAAATTGACTGAAAAAATAGATAAATTAAGGACCAGGAAAATGACCTCAATTTGATCGCCAATGTGAATGATCAAGGCATTAGGAATGTACTTAGCTGCAAACCAATTCCCGTCCTTGAAGATCTGCAATCCAGGGACCTCGTTAGGCACAAGAATGGTGAGGGCAGACAGATCAGTATGGGCCGCCACCCCCAGTGTGAGGTCAGGACGTGGGCATGGCGGATAGTAGTTTATTTTTAGCAAGTACTCGATTTCTTCACCACCGGCACCTTCTTTCAATGCATGGCCTTCAAGCCCTAACCCTAAAGAGAGAGCTGTGAATAGTTTATCTGTCACCTCCCTCATATGCTTTGCATACTCCTCATTGACTTCCCTGCACATATATAGCAAACCATTACCATGGCTGGGAAAACTGAAAAATCAAAATATCTATAGGCTTATTGTGTGAATATTGTTAATGCTTAATTAGAAACATGGTTTGATCTTCACTGTCGTTGAGTAGTATTCCAAATTCGTTTATGGTATCAAGTTGCTGTTCCAGAGAAATTAACCACAGATGCTCAAAGCTCATGAATGTTTTTTTAAAAAATTATAGTAAAATAAGGAAACAATTCTAAAGAAAAGAAAGGAAGAAATTAAGAAAAGGGGAAAGAGTTTAAGAGGGTAGCTAGCGAGCAGACCTGTAAGAAGGCGGGTTCTGAGGCCAGAACTGGTAGTTGATGGAAGAAGGAGGCCAAATGATATGAAAGAGATGATCAACCCAAGATTTCTTTACTTGGGGATTATTCTGCAATTTCGATCCGTACCCTTCAATGCTGTTTGAATCATGAGGCTTAGCATACACCTCTTTCTCTTCTTGAGGGAGTTCGAAGAATTTCTTACCAACATCTTGTAGTTTGGCAATGAGATCACTTGGGATTCCATGGTTCACAACTTGGAAGATCCCCCATTCCTTGCTAGCATCGGCAATCAGACGCACCAAGTTTTCTGGATTAGGATCATTGAGATCAATGGTGGGAATTTCAGGGACTGGGCCATGGAATGTGGTTGTTGCTGGCTGCTCCTTCTCTGGCCGAATGAACTCTTCAGGAATTGTTTCCTTGTCAAATGACAAGGAAGCAATGGCTTGAACTCTATCAAACTCCATGCTCTCTTCTTGTTTCATAATTTTTCTATAGAAATAGATAAAAAAAAAAAACTTGCCCTCAATATATAGAGAGACCTAAGGTATGATGATCAGCACATTAACAAAGGGTTACGAAAGTAAAATTCTTGTGATTCACCAATTGAGTTACATTAGTTAATCGTACGGTAATAAAGGGCACATTTTGATTAATTTTTTTATTTTAAATAATACACTGATTTTAAAAGTAAAAAAAATATTATTTTAATACATTTTAACATACAAAATTCTTTAAAAAATAACAACAATTACAATTATAATAAATACACTGTAATATTAATACTATACCACACATATAACATGACTCCATCACCCATTAATAACTCACCTAATCTATCCCTATTAGTTTATTTTATTTTATTATATGAGTTGTAGCAGTATTTTTAAATATATTACGTGCATTTTAATCTTATTATACTCGGAATATTATTTTTTATTTTATGTTCCTATTTTCCGAGAAAGGGATTTTTCCATTTTATTATCTAAAGCTCGTTGTTATTTTACTGTTTTCTATAACTTTACAGTGAAACGACAAAGGAAGACCATCCTAGCTGGAAATGTCTTGAGAGTGTTTATGTTCGCATTTTTTTCCTGGTCACATTCATTACCGAGCGTACAAAATTTTAAACCTAAGAACAAGCCGCTATATTTGTCAAGAAAACATATTTGAAGTTATTTAAAAAAAACATCATTTCAGGAAACATTTCACATGGTTACTGAATAATATCATATGTTTTTATTTTAAAACTAATAATTTTTTTCAATTATTATGCACTAATATGCAGAAATTAATAGTAATAAATTGCTCATGAATATTCATTTAAAATAAACTTTTGTTTTTTAAATTTTAAATAGAGTTTTAACATGTTTTTATCACGTTTATTATTTTTCCACCCTCAATCACATATAAAATATATATGGACATGCTATTTTATATATTTTTATTTAACTTATTTTGATGATTATGAAATGCTTTTTTTTTTATTTTTATTTAACTTATTTTGATGATTATGACATGCTTTTTTTTAATAATGATTCTAATTAAAAAAATATTTTCACTAAAATAATTAAGATATATGTTAACATATAAAAGAATTAAGTTTCTATTTGAGAAGTATATGTTTCTACTTAGTTCAAATAGCTTAAATTTCTTACAAACTTTTATCTCTATTACAGCTTCTTTTTATTAGTAAATTGTGATTCTAATAAAAAGCAATATCATTGTTTTTAAGAATATTAAAAAAATTTCATGATAATATTAGCGAAAGATAACTGGCAATAATCTAAGACAACGAGCAAATGATATATCGTTCACCTCATAAAATCAAAATAGAGGGCCATACACATGGACATAGCCTTGCATGCTCATGCATGATGTCCATTTGCCAAGCTTTTTTATATATTTTTATTTAGAATCGAATGAAGTACAAAAAAACTTGATATTAATTTTTTAATTATTATTAAATTTTGTCAAGTTTCTAAAATAATATTATAGTTTTTCATAGAAATATCAATATTTTGTTTCCAATCATTTTGTGCCTAATTTAAAAAAGAAATCATGAATAATCAATTAACATAAAATTTATGTTTTTTGTTAAATTTTTTTAGTATATTATTTTTTATATAATTTTATGACATTTATTTTTTTTAAATCTTCAATCATATGTAAAATACCAAGGTTTTTGTTTTAATATATAGATTTTTTAAAATTTGCGTTTAAGGCCATGAAGTATTTTTGTTTACAAAGCAATGCTTGCAATTTATAAACCATTATGACATTAAATTGGTCCTCAATTTTAAAAATATTTATTTTTTATTGTATTATTAAATAAAAAATTAATTTAAAATACAATATAATTACGGCTAGTCGGGTTCATAATACAAGTTATAGATTTTGCATATTAGATTAGGTAAGCCTATGTTTATTAAAGATGTCATCATCTTGTTACTTTAATTATATTTGTACTTACTGCATATTAAATATTGTTTTTATAATCAAAATTTTTCTTGTAAATAGAAATTACATTTTTTTTATTTTATTTAATAAAATTAATATTAGAAAATTGAACAACATAACTTAATTACACTTCAAAATATCTTTAATAGAAAATAAAAAAACCCTAATTTTAAGATACATGAGGAATGAACCTGACGGACCACAAGTCAGATTTTATAATATTCAAGTATTCAATAAGTATTCTTCTTTATTAATCAATATAAAATAAAATTATATATATATATATATATTGTGTTTTAAAAAAATTCTAAAAATTATATAAATATATCCATATAATATAAATATATATTTAGAGTTAAGTTGATGTCTAGTTTAATAATATTTATCTATTATCTATTATCTATCAATTAATATAATTATTCAAAAAATACCTATTCATTTGTATCAGATCATATCTATATTCATCTGATCGGATTAACTTGTGATCCTTATTTTTAAAATAAAAAAGCAATTAATGCGGGGTTAATTGTTGTTGACATGGCAGTGTTACCTAACCACATAAAGTACATGACCCCATCAATTAATGATATCTCCCCATTTTGTTTTCTGCAACATTAATGACAGCTTTAGCATTGTATCAAAGAAGCCAGGAAATTATACGTTTCAATGGAATGTCAATTTCATGGATATTTAGTGTCATTTGATCCGTTCGATCTTTACCTTGATTAGGGTCAATTTTTTTTTTGATTTACGTGGGATATTTGGGACAGTTTACGCGCATCATGATTAATTCCCACGGTCCACTGAACATCCTGCAAGCCCAATGAGTAAGTAAAGCACCGCGAGGGTGACAGACATGCATGATGAAGTTCGAACTCAGATGCGGAGGAAAGGGACAAGCCCCTCCCACCGCTAGGCCAAAACCTCACTTTGTTAGGGTCAAATTTTAAATGAACAAATTTTTATTCAATTTGTTAAGAACCCAAATTGACTTTTAATTTAATAAAAAAAATTAAAACTTTTTTTCTTAATTTTTTGAAAGTAATTCTTTTATAAAATAAAAAAAAATTAGAGTGATCTATGATATAAAACTTATCTAATTAAAAAATATAATTATTTAATATAAAAATTCATCTAGAACTAGTTGAAAGTACTAATAAAGCTTAGAGCTCGTTTAGAAAAGTTTAGAAAAGTGAGTTAAAAATAATAATGAAGGTTAAAGCTTGTTTGGAAAAATGAGTTAATTTAAAAATATAAATTAACCTGTATTTTTAAAAGAATTCAATTATTTTATTAAAAAATAATTTTTTTAATGTTTGGAATTGTTTTGATACGTTTTATTAAAAATTAATTTTTTTAATGTTTGAAATTGTTTTGATAAGTTGATCTTAAAAATTATTTTTTAAAAATAAAAAAATATCATTTTAAAATATTTTAACATGAAAAATACTTTAAAAAATAATAATAATCACACTCTCAAGATAAATATTAATATTTATAACTTTTTTTTTTCTACTCATTTTTTGAATGATTGAGCACCATCCCATAAAAAAATATTTAAAAAACAATAATAATCATACTCCAAGATAAATATTAATATTTGTAGCTTTTTTTTCTTCTCATTTTTGGGATGATCGAGCACCATCCAAAAGCAAGGTACAAAAATAGAACACAATACAGCCATGCTGCTAGAAGCCAGAACATAAACTGTTAAAACACTAGGAACAAAATATTCTACCGAGGGAAAAAAAACAGACAGATACATTTTTGTACAAAGGCATGCTAAAAAAGCATGGATCCTTCAGTGTTATCTAGGACCAGAAAGCTGTTGTGCAGACATGTGAGACATTGAGGTGTAAGAACTACAGGTGCCACTAGTGAGGTTTGCTTGAGGGAACAATCCAAACTCATTTCGCTCATTAGACCCTTCAATTCTAGACGCTTCACTGAACCTCCTGCCATAGAATCTCAAGAAATTTAACGATTCCTGCCTTGGCTCTGTTAAAGGAGTTATATCTTCCAACATGCTAACAACATTAACCATTGTTGGCCTCAGCATCGGATCTTCATGTAAACAGCACAAGGCCACCTTCACTAGCTTCTCAACCTCCTTGCTCGTCACCCGCCTTTCTAGCCTGGAGTCTGCAAGCTCCAAGTACCTTTTTTTCTCATGCATTTCTAGTGCGTGTAGGGGGAAATACGCAGGCCTAGGTTCCCAACCTGAAGAGGATGAAGACGTGCCATTTCCTTCGCTGCTATCGTTTTCTATGCTTCGGCTTTGCAGCTGTGATGCGCTGTTTTTCCTTCCCCTTACAATTTCTAGCAATACCATTCCATAACTATAAACATCAGCTTTATCTGAGATCGTAACGCCTGCTAGCCATTCTGGTGCAAGGTAGCCTCGTGTCCCTCTCATTGTAGTGAAGAGACTGGATTGTTCAGGGGTTAGCAGCTTTGAAAGCCCGAAATCGGAGATTTTAACCTGTAAATTGTCATCCAAAAGAATGTTCTCTGGCTTCACATCACAATGGATGATCTTGCGCTCACAATAACTATGCAAGTAAGCAAGTCCCCTTGCGGTTCCAAGAGCAATCTCAAACCTTTCTTGCCACTCCAAAACAGGTCCATTACCAAAGAGCGTTCTGTCCAGTGAGCCTCTGTTCATGTACTCATATACCAGAAACCTCTGTCTCCCTTGTGCGCAAAACCCTTTCAATTTAACAAGATTAACATGACGAGTACTTCCTATAATCGCAATTTCGGTGCAGAATTCCTTCTTTCCTTGCACACCAACATTGGTAATCTTCTTGACTGCCACAACGGATTTGTCAGGCAGAGTGCCTTTGTACACGGTTCCAAAGCCTCCACTACCAATTTGAGTGCTAAAACTTTCTGTTGCAGCCACAAGGTCTTCATAATTAAACCTTACTGGCAAACCCGGGATAGAAATTATCTCAAGCTCAGATGAAGAAGAATCGCCACGGCCTAATTTCAACTTAGCAGTTCTATACAATCTATTCCTTCTCCAACAAATGAACCCTAAAACAACAATGATAATCAAAAGGATTCCAGATGAAGGTAATAGAACCAAACCTACAATTGGAAGTTTTGCAGATTCATTCACTTTGTTTGCTCGCGAAGATACAACTATAGTCTTCACGTAGCCTAACCGTTTGCTGCTGGAGCTAGAGGCTTCCATGATAGACCCCAAAGGGTTTCCAAGAAGATAACAAGAACCTGAGGAATTTCCATAGAAGATGCCTAAACAAGAACAATTTCGGGTGCAAAGATCTTGGCAAGCTAATAAATTGATACCCCGTTTAGCAGGAGCCATAAAACCATTAGCAAAATAATCTAATTCAGAGCCTAAATTGACATAGAAAACAGAAGAATTCAATTCTTTTCCATTACTACAGCCTGAAGGCAAAGCAAGTGAAGCATCTGTCGGCGTGCAGCCACTTTTTGACAAAGGATCACCATGGAAATTTGGTGGACACGAGCATCTTCCTGAACTGCATAACCCCATTTTGTTACAACTGAGAGGAACCTGACATTCATCAGCAGGGCTCACAAATTCCTGCACCCAATTTTGATCAACAAATTTTCTAACACTAAACTTCCCATCAAACCCTAACTTGGCAACTCTAAAATCTGCAAGACCCAAAGTAAGCTTAATCACAACAGTTGATCTATCACTTCCAAGCAAAAACAAACCTGTATCATTCAAGGACAAAAATGAGACAGGCACCTTTGAATCCTGTGAACCTTTTGGCTCCCTTGATAGCTTCCAATAACTCATTCCATTCCACTGCAAAACAGCATCACCACCAGTCACTACAAGCCTGTAGTCACCAACTGACCTGTCATTCTCAGCGTTATAGCTGTCCACTGATGTCCCAACAGCCAAACTCTGTCCCATGACAATAGTATCAGCTGGATGATCAAAACTCTCCCATAAAGAAACATTGTTCCTGTCAAGAAGTACAAGGTTTCCTGAATCCCGAAGCTCCATAGCAGAAACCTGAGAGCTTGGGCTTAATCCTTCCGTTGACCAAACTACAGATGAAGTACTAGAATTATAAGTACTATTAATGGCAAGACCATTTGTAGTCAAGTATAGCTTATCAGAATCTGAAATGGGGTGGTTTCTGTTAGCTATCCAAATGATAGCATTGGACTTAACATGAGTGATAAAGAAATAATATGGAGGATTCTCTGCGGAATTGGATATGGAGGCTGTGAAGTTGCCATTAGAAGAGATCAAGAAAACACCAGCCTGGTCAATGAATAGAAAATGCGAAGCAGTGAAGGGTTGTTTGATGGTTTGAACAGTGATGGGGCCTGAGATGCAGAGATAAGGAAGAAGTGTGGAAGAAAAGAAGAGGAACAAGGAGGAGGAGCCCATAAAGACAGAGAAACCAAGAGAAGATTATAGTATGGGATTCGAGATTTGATAATCATTTGTTTTTTTGAGGTGTTAAGAAAAATTTAGATTTTGAGAGTTCAGTGTTCACATTCGACAAAGGTTTACTGTTTGAGAGATGTGTGCTGACCCCGTGAGAGGGGAGAATTTCTTCGCCAAGTTGCGGTGGAGATGGGCCGGCTGGTCAATGGTGGGTGGTTGGCGGATGATAAATAAAGGCAGCAAACATGGAGGCATAGGACAAGGTGCATGTCATTGAGTTGACCAAAGGGGATGTATTCTCATGCCCCCACTTGACAATAATTAGTTGTTTATTGGGTAATTAATTTCCAAAATTATATATTAATCAACTTAATTTTTTTTGTAAAACATTTCATTTGCTAAATATAAAATGTAACTAAGAAATTAACTATTAGTTGTATCACACTAAGCTTCAATTGATTGTTTTAGAGTTTAAAAAATATATTTTCTTTCTTGATTTTTAGAATTCATATTTTAGGATTAAAATTTATTAAATTTATTTGAATGCATCACTCCAACATAAATACATTTTTAAGGTTACTCGGAGATAATTTAGTCTTAATTAAAATGTAATTTGATTTTAAAATACTATTAATGTCAAATAAAAAAAATTATATGACAATAATAAGGTGATTGATTTTATAGAAAGTTTGAAGTCACTTTTTGACAATTGATTATACATTATAAGTTATTTTTAGAGTGTTAGAAAAAAAATATTTTTTTATTAGATGATTTAAATTAAATTTTAAATTCTTTTTAAATGATTTTAAAGATTCATTTTTGGGTCATTCATTTTAAATTATTTTTAGATGATTTTAAAGATGTATTTTTTAATCGGTTTAATATATTAGAAAGAATTTAATAAATACTTTTTAAATACAAGTTACAAGATTTAAACTAAAAAAAATAGCATATCTTCTCAGTTAACCACTAATCCATCTTCTTAATTTTTTCTGACACTTGACTATACTTAGTAAGATAAATGTTATATTTCTTCTTGACTGAAATACAAGATATTAAAAATTATTTAAAATTGATGACCCAAATGCTAAATTAGCTTGCTTTCAATTTCTCATCTTTGATTTAAACCCAAATGTTTCCATCCATGGATCCATTCACTGTTATAAAGAAATGTCAGAATGAAGTGATTGCAAATATAAACATGGGAATTTAACACCAGAAAATTATGAGGGAATAATTTAGAAACCATTAGACTTGTTGTTATATTTCAAAATAGTATAATTAGTATATTCTATAGTTTACGTAACTATATTTTAATTTAAATTAGTTAGAACTTGAATTTTGTCAGGTTTTAAATTAAATTAGCTGAGAATTGATACAAGAAAACCTGTTAATTTAATAGATTTAATTTATTATATTTTTAAATTTAATTAGGAAGAATTAAAATTAACTATCTTTGACCTAAGAACAGAGCTTTGAATCAAGTGCTGCAGATCAAGTTCAATAACTTTTGGTCAAAAAGCTTAGCAAATTGATCTGGCTAGGCTAAGGCTAGAGCATGGAGCGCATGGATAGTGCTGAGAGCCGACAATTCTTTACGCGAAAAAGGAAAGTTTGACTGATGTTTTTGGTTCACATAGTTTGGGATTTCTCTGTCCTACCCTCCAACTTGCAGAACACATTAACTCTGCTGCTAGAAGATCACAGATGCAATAAGGCCTAACCACCTACCATAACATTGACTTTTGTTTCGCTGATTAATGAGAGGATTTCTTATGATTGTGAACTGTCCTTCAGACCTAAGAACAGAGCTTTGAATCAAGTGCTGCAGATCAAGTTCAATAACTTTTGGTCAAAAAGCATAGCAAATTGATCTGGCTAGGCTAAGGCTAGGGCATGGAGCTCATGGATGGTGCTGAGAGCCGACAATTCTTTACGCGAAAAAGGAAAGTTTGACCGATGTTTTTGGTTCACATAGTTTGGGATTTCTCTGTCCTACTCTCCAACTTGCAGAACACATTAACTCTGCTGCTAGAAGATCACAGATGCAATAAGGCCTAAACAGCTACCATAACATTGACTTTTGTTTCGCTGATTAATGAGAGGATTTATGATTGTGAACTGTCCTTCAATATGGGCCCAGAGACTTAATTAGACAGATATGACTTTGTTTTTATTTTATTTTGAAATTGATTTCTAATTTTTAGTTATTAGACAGAGCTGTGGTATAATATTCTTGTATTGCAAGAGAGTTATGCAATGTGATTGTTGTTTTGAGTAAATCTTTACACGGGACAAACTGTGGTACATTGTGTTTAATTTCATCTTCTCATCGTTTTCCATGATCTTCTCACTAATTTATTTATCCCTTAATAACTCTGGGGTTGATTTCATGAAAAGTCATTGCATTTAGTTTTATTATATATGATACTATATATTTTTTTATTGATTTTTTTATTTGACTTAATTATGTATAGAGCGAATGTAATTCTGAATTGTTAAAAAATAAATAGATCCATAACTTGTATTTAATAAAAATAATTATATTTATGAACTTGTTTTGAATGAGCAAATATATAAGAATAATTTATAATTTGATAATTAGGTAGTATTTGTATAATCACAATACACTATACATGTTTTAACCACAATATTTTGAAAAAAATAAAGAACGGATACTTCGATATTTAAACAATGCCCAGATGCCACCAAGCATGAAAACAGAGAGCAAAACATGGGAGCCTCAAGACACAAGATTTCTTAAACATCATGGGGACCCAGAAGATGGGATATCTTAGGGGTTCTGGTGATAAGTATGCAGCTTCATAACCCAGAATATGGAAACCAGAAGATGTGAACTAGAAGTCAAGTTTAATTGGGAGATGATATTGATCGAAGCCATCATGAACATATATGGTCATAAATGTGAGAGCACAACTAAAATGGACGACAGCCCTGTATGTTTGAAACTGTGTACAAGAAAAAAAACAAGCTAAAAGGCAGTCAAGTTTTCAGGTTTTATGGTAGTCTTCGACTTGACGAAAAACCATACATCAAAACGCATTTACTCCTCCTCCACAACCGCTAGTACTAATGGCTAAAACCATACATAGTTGATCATAATATCTCGCATGGCCAAGACACAATGGATCCGTTGGCTGGGATGAATCTCCTCGAGGTTCCTCAGCTTGATTAATTGATGGCCTCTCATGAAAGCTACCTATCAGAAGTTCAATCTCTTCATCAGTGATGCTACTCAACCAATGTCTAGACGCTCCAAAGGAAAGAACATCTTCTTGTTGTGCCATCACTGCATTGTTCTGTTCTTGCGCAGAAGCTGAAATTGCATTAGTGACCTCGTCATTGCTTGAGCCTGCTACCGTTTTAAGTTTTTTTTCTCTTTTCTGAAGGACCATCAATTGCTGCAAGGGCTGCATCTTGGACATCTTTAGGCACCTGTCCGCTAAATTTAAAAACAAAAAACAACGAATTCAAGGTTGAGGGTCAATCTAGTACGAATTCCATAAGGCATGGATTATAAAAACTGAGAAAGATCAATTTATTTATTTCTGGAAACCGTTGATGATCCTGAAAAGATCAATTTATTTATTTCTGGAAACCGTTGATGATCCTGAACTCCAAAGTTTCTACAACTAGTGTTTTACTTAAAAGATTCAAACAACAGGTGCATGTGAAGAACAGAAACACCAGCAAAATGAAGATTAGTCGAAAATTACTTCCTTCCAAATAAAGGGAATGAAGTGAGTGTTGATGCCTGCTTTCTCAAACTCTGCCCTTACATTTGAAGAGGCAATTAGCAAGTCGAAACTAAAGGAAGAGAGAGCATTTCTGACCACACAATTGACAAGAAGCACCAGCCGTTTCAGTCATATAGAAACATTTTGATCTGATTAGTTTTGAAATCAGATTCATGCACAAATTTTCAAGGTCAAAAAACAAGTTTTGCACTGTAATAATGTAGAAATTATTTCACCTTTTACACTGGTTGGTCCAGATTATGTTACTATTTCCATGATATATATTTGTAAAGGGCCCTGCAGGTCAAGGGAACAAAACAACAAACATTCTGCAGGTCATAGGAACTATGTTCCATATTAACCAGCTGAGCTGAAACAAAAAACAATACCAAACCTACAATCATTCCAAATCCATCATAACCATCAATCTCAAAAGCATGTCAAGCAATCAAGCTCAATGCAGCAAAATATTGCTCAACGATCAATATTTAATGCCAATCAAATTCTCATTTGAAATCTCATCTTTAAAAAGACAAGAGTTATCCAGTCCTACAAGTAATAAATAGAAAAGGAATTAAAAAAAAGAAATTTTAGATAATATAAAAGGTGTCATGATTGGGGACGGTAAAATAAAATCATTAGGTGAATCAAACTTGTGGGTCAAATTTAATATAAACACAACAATCATTAAGTAGATGTGGTTGAGATTCATTTCAATTAAATTAAGATTGGGAGAGAGAGAGGAATTACCAGTAATTCAACACCATACAAAGGGACGAAGGACATTCTTAGCTTTAGGATGCTCCCACTCCACTACTGACTCCCACCATTCTTCTGAATCTATATGGATTCTTTTAAGAGAAGGGGGGGGGGGAGATGGCTGGCCATTTTCAAGCAATGGAAGACATATTGGCATCTTCTTCAACTTCCAACAATTTATCACTTGAATTACTTGGAGAGAATCGCAAATCAGTTTTGCACTACAAATGCTTTTCAGTTCTGGTAAATCTTCCAATTCCAGTTCTCTTAACTCTGGGAGTTTGAATTCGGTGTTGTTGATGCTGCTGCTTTCTTCATCTGATCTAGTTCCACCTATTATCTCCTCCATTTCCTCACAATCTCTAACTGTAATCTTTTCTAGGTTTACAAGGTATGGTAGCAAGACAAGAGGGAACAACTTCTTCATACTACTACATCCAGAGCAATTGAACTTTTTAAGACCAGAAAATACACCATTATAAGATGGCAATGGTGTTGGGGAAGGGTAGAACCAAGAAGATGAAATCAAGCTCTCCATGCTATTGCAATCCTCAATGTGGATGACCTCCAGTTCTATTGAATGCTCTATTAGAGAGGAAACATCACATGAGCTTTTAAAAATAACCAGTTGTTGAATGTCGTTTGGGAACATGACTTGAAAATCTCCATCTCCATTGTTACACAAATTACTTAACCTCACTGTTTTACTTTCACTATAATATTCTATTTCACTATAATCATCTCCATCCCTTAGTCCTACAGAAATACAGTATGTACCTAGTGATCGAGTCTTATCCCGAGAATCGAGATACTCCACAAAGTCAGATTGACCTTTAAAATGACATTCTAAATTTTCCAACTCCCTCAAGCATCCTACTTCCTTTCCTTTAACTGTTACTGGACGATAAATCTTCTCTAATATGAGGACTTGCAGGTGAGAGAGTTTTGGTAATATCCCACTAGGAAACTCCTTTTCACCACATCCGTTCATCCTTAGATACCTCAGGTTGGAAAGACATTGCATGCCTTGAGGCATCTTTTCAAGTGCCCAAGTACCAGAGAGATCTAACCTCTTCAGTGCTCTGAGCTTTTCTAATGATGGTACATGCCTTAAATTTATGCATTCTTTGAGCAATAATGCAGTGAGACTCACCAGTTCACAGATAGAATCAGGCAATTCTGTGATATCTGTACGAGACAAATCAAGAACCTTGAGCCCATGCAGTTGTGTGAAAAAAGAATCTGCAATAAATCGCAACCCTTCATTATCACATAGCAATAGAGTTGAAAGATTGGGACATCTTGGTGAATGACTAGAAGGAATTTCCACGAAATAACAACCTATCAGAGAGACTCTCACTAGATCCTCTTTCCACATATCCACATCTGGTAATCCTCCACGAAAATCCCCAACCATGACTAGAGAGTTAGTTTGGAGTATTTGGTGGGCCATGTCCCTAATCAAGTCATGCATCTTGACACATCTACAATCATCCTCATTTTTAGAAGTTTCTAATAAGTAAACATTTTCAAGTTTATCAAGCATTGTGTGGCCCTCGTCAAATGCTGCTTGCCTGCTCCTCATTTCTTCAATTATTCCCTCATCGATCAAATAACCTATCAAATCCTCCCTTGCAATCTCATCATCTTCTGGAAATAATGCATAGTATAGAAGACATTGTTGTAGTGCTAAATCATTATCCAACCGATCATAACTAATCCTCAGCATCCCGAATACATCTTCCATTTTCCTATATTTTGTTTCTTTCAATTTTTTCAATGTATTCATCCACTCATATGGGTCATCCACTCCCCTCATGCTTCCTGCCATTGTAATAATTTTCAATGGAATACCAGCACATTCCCTTACAACATCCACAGCAATTCGTTCCACTTCTGGAGAAAGTGCTATGTCATGTCCAAGTCTCTCAGTAAACAAGGTCCAAGCTTCTTCATCTGAAATAGACTGCACTTTGATTGTGTGTTGGGTTTTCATCTGTTGACAAACCATGACTGATCGAGTTGTAAGAATCAGCTCGCATCCCTGAACTTGGTCAGGAACTCCCAGCTTTTGTAGGTCAAAAGCCTCCCACAAATCATCTAAAATCAGAACCCATTTCTGTTTCTTCTTTAATTCTTCTTTCAACGCAGCCGCTCTATGCAGCTCCTCATCTTCACTGGAAAGATCTAAACCAATTTGTCTTGCGAGACTTGTCTGCAATCTATTAATGCTGGTATCTTGTGAAACAGTAATCCAGTAAACATGAGTGTCTCGTCTTTCTTGAAGCTGGTTATGTATATGTTTCACCAAGGTCGTCTTTCCCACTCCGCCCATCCCATAGATGCCAATACTTGAAACTTCATTGCGCATCAAAAAAGATGAGATAGTCTTCTTACGTTCTTCGAATGCTTGACCCACCATTTTTCCCGTTGGTAGTGCATCTCCTTTAATCTCATTTGTGTTGCATGCAACCCCTCCAGAAGAGCTAGCTCCTGTGTCAGGCTGCACTGATCTTCCATGATTGTTCTCCACGTCCTCCTCCACCGGTTCTGTCCTCAATCTAACCATGTTCTCCACATCATTCATAATTACATCATTGTGTATTGATGAAGCATAGAGGTGATCATAATTTCTTCCATGGTCAAGACACAATGGGTCTGTTGGCTGGGATGAATCTCCTCGAGGCTCATCAGCTTGATTAATTGATGTTCCCTCATGAAAGATACCTCTCAGAAGCTCAATGTCTTCATCAGTGAAGCTACTCAGCCACTGTTCGCGCTCTCCAACGAAAAGAGCATCTCCTTCTTGTGCCATCACTTCATTGTTCTGTTCTTGCGCAGGAGCTGAAATAGGATTACTGACCTCGTTATTGCTTGAGCCTGCTGCAGTCTTAAGTTTTTTTTCTGGAGGGCCATCAATTGCTACACGGGCTGCATCTTGAACTTCTTCTGGAACATGATTACAAATTTTAACACCACGCCTTTTCACTCCTGACAAATGCCATTTGATCCTCGTAATGGAAGTATCTTTGGCAAATTGATGCCCACAAAACTTACACTTCATTCTACCATTATCAATACCTTCTACATCATTCCAAAATGGATCATCTGATCGAACCATTTTTTCCTAACGCAAAAAAAAAGTCAAAAGTATTGAATTAAAATTAATGGAAGTTACATTAACTGGAAATGGAAGTTATATTAACTGGAAAAGGAAATGTTTAAACTAAAAGAAAAGGGAACTTGAAATACAGAGTCCTTGTGTTTATAATTATAGGAGGAGAAAAAAATAAAAGGTTATGTTTATTTCTTTCCACAGATGATGAAATACTTATTTTAATTAGGCACTTTCCTTCACTATTTTTCTCGAGATCTTTTAGTCACAATTAATAGCAATGTTAATTAATTTTACTAATTAGTAGGGAATAGATTTTGGTGGATCATGACTTCCTAGATCAAAATACTTAATTAAATAACATGCAAAAATTACCAACCTTGATAATTTAATAACCAGCATGCCGTTTTGCTTCAATGAATCAACCAACAAAAAAAATTAAAAAGTTTACCTGAACGTTTCTGGCAGCCAAAAGAGGTTCTCCAAGTGTTTGGTTACTGGTTCGCTTAAGCAATCAATAAAGAACAGGGATCTAAGAGAGAAGAATGGTTTAGAAAAGAAACAACCAACATGGAAGAATCAAGCAATAAAAAACAAAATAAATAGTTTACCTGCAAAAATAGGGTTCTGTCTGGTTACAGGTTAGCTTAAGCAATCAGGGAAAAAACTGCGATATGAGAGAGAAGAATGGCTTAGAAAAGAATGGTAGAAGAGAGAGCGCGGAAGAGATTGAATGTTAAGAGGAGGTTCTGCAGCTGCTTCGTTGGCTTAAGCAGACAGAAAAGGATATAATAGCACAGAGAGAAGAGTGATTCAAGAAAACAAATCAATAATGTTAACGTGTTGACACAGTTACACAGTGTATATTAGTAAACAATTGCGTGGAAGAGTTTTTAAGGAATCAATAATGTCCATTTTCACAAGAAAACTCTTTGATGAGATCGGATTTTTTCTAAAACATGAACAAACTGTTAAATATTTCACATGTCAATTGCTACCCAATTGTTGTTAAAACTTTGAAAACCCAATTGCTGATATTATATAATTTAGAATGGCTGTAACCTGTTCGCATGTTAACGTGTGGAAATTCAGAATGGCTGATGTTAACGTCTGGAAATTTAGAATGGCTGTGATCTGTCCGAAGTCAACTTGTGGAACCAATAGTTGTTGAAACTTTGAGAACAGGGAGGTAATTATATGATTCAGAATGGCTGTGACCTGTTCGAAGTCAACTTGTGGAACCAATATTTGTTGAAACTTTGAGAACAGAGTGCTAATTGTATAATTAAGAGAGCTGTCACCAGTCGACCTCAGTAACGTTCAAACTTGGAAACTATAAACCAATTACCTGCAGGGTGCTGATTAATTAAATTATATCTTGAATAGGATTATAATTTATATTTCAACCAAAATATTAGAAACTTAATGTTCTAAACATTTGTACAAAATCCAATTGTGGATATTATATAATTTAAATTGGCTGTAACCTGTTCGAATGTTAACGTGTGGAAATTCAGAATCGCCGTAACCTGTTCGAATGTTAACGTGTTGAAACGTTGAAAACAGAGTAGTAATTGTATAATTAAGAAAGGCTGTCGAGCTCAATAAGCAAAGACAAAACTCCTAGCTCCCGATATAATCGACGCGGCGTGTAATGTGAATAAAAACTTGGGTTTTCAAGTTCTATAGTTAAAGTCCAAAAATACAAAGAATTACAGAGAAAGAGCTGATATTTTCTGAAAACAATTATGATTCAATAATTTTATCTGAAAACAAAATACCAACTCTTTATATAGAAGTTTAAAACCAACCCGACCAAAAGAATCCAAAGCTATGTAAAAAAAACTAGTTAGAATTCAAAATTAACTAGAAAAATAATTAAAATAACAAAAGCATCTTTTATGCCTAATTTGCAATGATATGTGTGGTTGATAACTGGAGGTGTGGGCCCTTTATTTGAATGAATCAAGCAACAAAAAGATAAATAGTTTACCTGAATGTTTCTGGCAGCAAAACGAGGTTCTTCAAGTGTCTGGGTACTGGTTCGCTTAAGCAATCAGTAAAGAACAGGGATCTGAGAGAAAAAAATTATTATTATTCACCTTGTTATTGTTATCCTACAACCTGTCCTTTACTTAAGAAAGATTCAAGCAATAGTTGCAGGAGAAAAACAGGAACACCAACAGACGAAGAAGATGAGGTAAAAATACTTAACCTGGATTCAAGATGCCCTGCAAGAGCTGCCTTTCCCTGAGCAGTAATCAGAAAAAAAGAGCAGAAAGCACAGGCAAGAGAAGAGTATGTGGTCTTCAGAAGTAATTTACTGGGAACAGAGAATGGTATAATGTGGAAGAGATTGTTACAGTAATAGCACAGAGAGAAGAACTGTTCGAGGAAATAATAATGGACATCGCTTGACTTGGAAGACTTTGGTAGCTGTAACCTGTTCGACCTCAATAATGTGAACGCGTGGAACCAATTGTTTGTTAGCGTGTGGACCCACCTCTCGTGGAAACTTTGCAAAGGATCTGGAGAAAGAAATATATTAGAATGATTTTTTATATATATTAAAATAATAGAAAGTATTAAGAAATAAAATAAATATATTTTTAAAAAGTATATGAAAACAAAAGTTACACATAGAGAGTATTTTTTTTCCGGACGTGGTTTTAATATTTTGAAAAAAGAATTGAAATGACGTATGGAAGTTAAAGTACTATGTGAGAGAGATTATTTTTTTGTTTTAGTTTGATTTTTATTAAAAAAATAAATTAAAATTTATTCAAACTAACCGGTTTTAGTTTGATTATTTTAGAATAAAAATTAGTTCAAACAAAATGGTTCTGGTTTGGTTTAATTTTTTCTATTTGACTGAGTTTTTTCTTGTTTGGCTGGGTTTTTTTTTTTTATTTAACTTGGTTTTTTAGTTTTACTTAGTTTTTTTTCCGGTTTGGCTAGGTTTTTTCGATTTGGATTCGGTTCGATTTGTTTTTTTAATTTTAGGCTTATAAAACCCAAACCGAACTGATCAGTTTTAAAAAAATTTTAATTAATTTAATTAGTTTTTAGTTTGTTTTTCACTTCTAATTATGGTTTTTTTTCCTAGCACCACCAATAGTATTGACTACCTTGATCTTTGTATGCTCTACTTGGGTGATAGTGATTTTCTCACCTCTGATTCATTCATCATTAGCTTTTTCTATAGCACACACAACTAAATTAACAATTGCCATCGATATTGAAAATCTTCCACTATCCCATCAGATTTACGTTTTACTCTAAAAATCCATTTACAACCGATTGGATTGCAGTGTTTTGGAAGAGGTACCAGTTCCCATGTCCTATACCGCATGAGAGTAGTTAGTTCATGAGACATGGCCTCACGCTAGTGAGGTTCAGAAACTACTTGATTGACACATGTGGGTTTAATGGTATCGAGCATAGGGTGTTTGGTAGCACTGTTCAGTTTTTTTGGTTTAAAAATTATGTTCATAGACCAAGTGGTCATCTGATGGGATCAAGAGATTGATGGTTGTGGGTGGTGAGAAGTGATTTGTGGTTCAGTTGTAGGTTGAGTAGTGGGTCTAGGTCCTGGGGTAGGATTACACGGTGAATAGAGGGTGGAAAATCAGCATTGGTAGGTGTTAAAGTGTTACCAGTAGAAGACAAAACCAATTGAGAAGATAAATTAGAGGAAGTAGAGACTAGAGGGTTACCTGGAGGTGCAATGACCATGGCATGAGCATCAACCGAAGACACCAAAGGTGAAGAAGGCAGGATAGTAACTGCGACCGAATTAGGAACAATGGAGATAAGTGAGGTAGTGGGTGAAAGTAAAAAGGAAACAGATTTTGTCAATGGTATTTGATCTTCATCAAATAAAACATGGCGTGAAATGTAAACACGCTGAGTGCGTGGATCAAGACACCGATAGGCATTTTGAGTAAGGGAATAGCTTAAAAAAATACATGGTCTGGATTTTGGTTCCATCTTGTGTTTGTTGCATAGTTTGGTGAGAGGGTAATACACACACCTAAATTTTCGTAGTTTGAGATAACTAGGTTGTTGACCGAAAAGAGCTTGATATGAGGAAATATTTTGAAGCAGTGGTATTGGTTTACAATTGATAAGGTACGTTGCTATGTGAAATGCATATGGCCAATTTATTAAAGGAAGATTTGCATCATGCAGTAATGTGATACCAGTTTCCATTAGGTGACAATGACGATGCTCGGAAACACCATTTTGTTGTGGTGTGTATGGAGCGGTAGTGAAATGACTTATGTCATAAAGGGAGAGAAAAGGTTTTAAACTCATATATTCACCCCCATTATCTGAGTATATGGTTTGGATTTTGCTTTGGAACCGGTTTTCCACGAGGTTTTTGAATTGTGAAATTTTTTTTGCAACCCCAGATTTTATTTTCATAGAATAAAACCACATGTATTTGGTGTAATGATCAATGAAAATGAGGTAATACTAAAAGCCATCTAAACCAACATAGTGAGCAGGACCTCAAACATTAGTATAAATGAGATTAAAAGGTGCAGTGCTGGATAGACTAGTAGATCGAAATGGTTGTTGATATGTTTTATTAATAAAACATGAAGGAAATAGAGACGACTTTTGAGTGTTTGTGAATGGAAGTGAAAACTAACGAACAACATTATGAACAATTTTGGAGGAAAGATGACCAAGCCGTTTGTGTCATCCGTCAATAGGGGCTTTTTCATGCACATTGACAACCATAGGGAAGAGAGTTGCCGCCAATGTATTTGGGAAAATGTAAACACCATTTTCACATACACCTTTTACCAAGATCACCCCTAAGTTCGTGTCCTTCACAAGAAAATAAGACAGGTGAAATTCAATAAAGACATTATTTTAAGCAGTAAAATGGTGCACATATATAAGGTTTTTAGAGATATCTGGAACGTAAAGTGTGTCTTTGAGAATGAAATTTTTGTGTTTTAATTTTAAGGTTAAGGATCCTATATGTGAGACAGTCAAACCTGAACTCATAACCGAGCACGACTTCATCAGTGCCATTATATTCTGAGTGAATTAATAGGTTGTTGAGATCACCAGTAATATTATAGGATGCAGCAGAGTCCATAAGCCATTTATTGTCTGTGGCATTAGAGGTAAAAGTGTAGTTTGCTGTGACTGCATGAGAATTCAAGTGGGGGCATGTTTTGGCTGTGTGACTAATTTGATCATAAAATTGGCATTTGGGCTGATACCTTTTTTATGTTGCATTGGGCCGGCCGAATGACTAATTATTGTACCAGTTTTCTCTGTGGAGACCCTAGTTTTATAAGAAACCACTGGGTTTTTTATTCTTCTGGAAAGAATTTTCTAAAGAGTTCTTGCGATTTGTGTAATTCGTTGATGCCACAAGTTAATGGGTAGTGGATTCTAGCCGTCGAAGGTAGCTGTCATGACCAATCAACAAATCATGAAGTTCTTCAAAATTCAAGGATTTCTCCCTCGCAAGAATTGGTGTAGCAATTTCCCTGAAATCAGAACCCAAACCATAAAGAATATAAAGAGTTAGATCATCATCGGAGATGGGATGGTCGATTAGAGCAATTTCATCAACCAACGCTTTTACTGCATGGAGATACTCCTGAATCGATCTATTTCCTTTTTGAATCAAGGTAAGGTCTTCCTTAAGTTGCATAGTTCTCAATCAAGATCAATGAGCATACATGTGATTTAGTTTTTTCCATGTCTCATGAGATGTTTTAGTGGTGGCAATGAGGGGATTAATTAAGGTGGAGGTGGAAGCAAGGATTGCACTGAGAATTAATTTGTCCTACCAAACCTAATGGGTTCTTTTCAACGCGGATTGGGAAGTACCATTAGATGAAGAACATATTAAGAGACCAGTGACATAGTCTAGCAGATCATACCTAATTAAAAGAGCTTCAAATTGGGCACGCTATTGATTTGAGCTCTAATGTTGAAAGCAATCAGTGGATTCTCAACATGGGAGGTGGGTTGGTTGGTCAGATTTTGAGATAGAGACATGTTGGAAGCAGGGATCGTAGTCTCGTTTGAGTTATGGTGCTCTGATATCATAAAGCAAATTATAACAGAGAGAGATATAACAGAGTTCAATAGAAATTTTCCACACTTTTATTACTATTGTGGAGCATTAGATTTATATATAATATATGCTAAATGTAAGGAATTACAGTAAGTTAAATATAGAATGATTTGCAATTGTTTTTCTAGAATGTTGCTGTATTATTTGTCTGCATTAATATACATGATTCTTGGCTAGGAATCTGGTGGAGCTATTCTTCATTAGCTATCTTAATAGTGGAAACTTGCACAGAATCTAGAGAAAGAAAATATCAGTTTGATATTTAAAAAATATATTTTTATTTAAAAATAAATTAGAATAATTTTTTATATTTTATATTAATATATTAACATAATAAAAGTATTAAGAAATAAAATAAATATATTTTTAAAGTATATAAAAACAAAAGTTACACATGGATGAATAAATGACTTCATGAAAGTAAAAGTATTATGGTCAGCACCAATTCAATGGTTGTTAGTCTTGTGTGGATTGACTCATTGACCTAATTTCTCTCATTTTATAGATTAATTTAAGTTAATATTAAAAATAAATAATAATTATTTATTATCTATCAAAAGTTATTTATTTTAAATTTAATTATTACTTATTCATTATGAGAAACTCTAATTGTAGTCTCCTCAGATAAATCAACAAGATTATACCTTGAAGGATTTTTAGGTCAAATTTCTCATATCCTCATCCAATCGGATTGTTGCATAAGTTAGTTTTTAATAAACTTGGATTGGTCTAGCCAGCAGGTTAACCTGTTTAGCTGAGTTTGAAAACTGAAACAGAGCATTTTTATATTTTTCACTTTGTTTTCTTAACTTTTTTTTTTTGCAATTGAATCATTTAATTGCAAAATTAACTCTTAATTGTTTTAAATTTATTGGTTAGGAACAAAATTAAAAGATAGGGACCAACTTAAAAAAGACACTGAAAATGGATTGTATTTTTAAAGTTGATTTTAAAAATACACTTTAATCCTCTAGTTTATAAATTTAGACTTTTTTGGTCCCTTATTTTTTCTAAATTATTTTCATAGTTTTTGTTTAAATTATTTTATAACTTTTTTATTTTCATCTAAAATTAATTTGGTTTGTGATAAATTAAGATTCAATAAAAGTACAATCAGAAAGAGAATAAAAGGAGGACAAATCATTAGGTGGGTTAACTTATTATAGTGTTGTGTTCATTATATATGTTATATATTTTATATGTTAACTTAGATTAATATTGTTTATCATTATTTTTTTTATTTTATTCCCTCATTTCCTTGACAGTTTTTTGTTTTTATATTTAAATTATAATTAGATAAGACTATAATAATGAAGGTGTTTTTTTAAAAAACTTAAATTGTATATTTTACATGTTAATTTAGTTGGATGTACTATATCATCATTTTTCTATTTCACTTTCTCAATTCTTTTTAGTTCCATGATAATTTTTTTTTATATTTAAATTATGATTAAACAAG